TTGTGTGTAGTATGGTATTTGTTGTTGGGATCTAAACTGTGAATTAACTGAAGAATGTGTGTGTTGGCAAGAGTTACAGCAGAAAAGCTCAATCTGGTTTTAGCTCTCTTGGGATGCCTCTCTGTGGAAAGGCTGACAGAGATGCTTTACTGTGTCAGGTTCAAGGTAATTCTGGGGAACAAGGAGAGTGAAGCTTTCTTTGCAGGCTCAGCATGTTCCTGTCCCTAGATTAGGATAAGGTGAGGGGAGCGTATCTCCAGTGTTGAGAAAGGAAAGCATGCTGGCTTTTGGGCCCTCTCCTGCCACAACCAGCCTCTCTTGGAAGCCTCATTTAAGCACCTGAGTTTTGATACAGGCTGTTAAGCTATGGATAATTGCCTGTTACTCTTCAAACAACTGCCAAAAAACTAATTTGCACATGTGACAATTTTAAGATGTTCTTAAGAGTGTAGGTTCATGTAGTATGTTCTTATAGTGACTCAAGGTAGAAGTGTCCAATACAGATGGCGTAGGTGTAGACACCCAATGGAAGGCACTGGAGGGAGAAATTAAGTAATGTCCTATCTGACATCTGCCATTACTGCTATATACAGCAGAGCCTGGGACTCCAGCTGGGATAAGACCTCGGTATTACAAACTCGTAGTACAAATATTTCTGCCTTTCTTTTACTGCTCCCTTTCTGAGAGAAAAAGAAAGTTTAACAGTTCTCTTTCTGGTTTATAGAATTCATCTTATTTGTGCCTCCACTGAATTTAATGAAACTGGCATGCCATCTTGCTCATCCATTGCCTGGTCTCTTAGCCAACAGAGGGAAGCCTAGTGTAGGGGAAGAGATTAAAATTAAGCTGTATGTCACTGTGTGGAAGATAACACATCTCTGATTTCATCACTAGCCATCCTATTAATGTAGTATATAAAATATAAAAAAATCTTTTGTTTGGGGTGGTAAAAGGCCCCATTACAAAGCAACACAAGCAAATGCAACCCATATGTAAATGTGCTTAGGCTTATCAAGATATTAACTCTGACAGTAGGCATGCATGTAGGCAAGAAGTACTGTAGGCAAGAAATACCCAGGAATGTTTCATTTTATGTAAGCTCAATGATGCAGTCTTTTCCAGTGTTGTCACCCTTTTCACCACAGTGTGGTTTGCTGCTTGAGAGCCATTTCTGTGCCTTCTTCCATCTGAAAGATCTGCTTTTGGGTGTGAGCAAGGATTTTCCACCACTTGGTTAAGAAATACCCTACCCACAGTGCACACACCCCTTCACATTTTCTGCTCTCTCCTCACTCCCTTCATCCTTTCTGTGCTCAGTGAGGGACTGGGATTGAATCTGTGCCTGTGCTGCTACTGTGCCACCAGCAGAACAGGCTGGTAATTTACCAGTTTGCACCTGTGCACAAAGCATCTCCAGTCTGATTTCTGAACCTAGGGCTTGTTGGCATATCTAGGAGTTCATTATCTGAGAAACTTTTTCTGGAAAATTTTGAGATAAAAAATGCTCCCTTTTTGATTAGTTTTTATTAATAATACCATCTCCGCATCTGATGAGATTTTCATGGGATGCTGCCATATAGGATCAATGCTGGATGGCAGGCTAAGAAACAGTGGTGGTTCAGAATGTAGAGTCAAGTTCTTAAACCAGTGTGTGCTCCCTGGCTGCAATGCTCAGAAAGCTACTGTTTAGCAAAATGCTTCCTATATTTATATAGTTGGTATCCCAGTTTTAGCTCCGAAAGTCAGGCTTATGTATACAGTTGTAGTACTCTCCATATAAATGAAATTATTCTCTTCCAAGTGGATTAACTTATGTAGGGCTCAGCAAACACTATTATGTTGCTTGCTAGTTCTGTCTTTCAGTTAGTTTTGGATAAATATTAATGTTAACTTGCATAGTAAGCATAAAATCACCCTGTTCTAGTAGTTTTTGTGCGTGGTCAGAAATGCTTTCATACTGTCACTGTGTATTTACAAGGTGGTTTAAATATACACTGGCTTGCATTAAGAAAACTTTTGCTGAGACATCTTTCATTATTTTTGTAAATGCCCTGATCCGGCCTCAAGGCAATTATGGGGCTGTTTTAATAATCCAATTAAGGTGCAGCTGGGTTAGAACAGAATGAGCAATGCAGCTTTAAAATCTAAAGTGCTTTGGGAATTCTTCTTGAAGGCAGTAAGAAGTTCACATTAGGAACTTGGCTAAGCCAAGTTCAAAATATAAACAACATGAATACTTTACTATGCATTGGTCAAGGAGGCCATTAAAAACTGAAAGAAATTTAATAGGGAAATTAAAATATCATTTAAATAATTAAACTCGGGCTATGTAGCTTTAGCGTAACTGGCATATGCTACCTGAAAACTTAATTTGTACTACAGACATTCTGTGCCTTCCTAAAAGCATGTTTGTTTCCAAGAGATCCCTTTTTTTTTTTTCTTGTTCCAGTTAAATATTCTGTGTGCTTGTCTTTATTTGGCTTCATATTTCTTTGTGGGGTAAAATGTTAATGCACCGACATCTAGAATACCATTCTAGGCAAGACTAACAAAGGCCAGAAAGTATTTCAGTGCTAAACTTAAATAAAATCACTTGTTTTCTTAGCTCATTTACTGACATAATAGTGCAAGGGACTTGGGGGGCCAAATCATTAGCAGATAGGAAAGGCAGCTAGTTACAGCAATTGCAGTAAGACAACAGAGATAAACTGGAAAGTATATCTGCTAAACAAATCTCCCTCTTTTGTTTCTAGGTGTGGCCACTGTAAGAACTTGGCTCCAACTTGGGAGAATCTTGCCAAAGAGCAATTTCCAGGTTTGACTGATGTCAAAATAGCAGAAGTAGACTGCACCGTGGAACGTAACGTCTGCAACAGATTTTCTGTAAGTGTGGAAGATCTGAAATGAATGGGATAGTATGGTGTACCAAATGTTGGAGGCTCCAGCCAAAGTGGCTGCTGCAGTCCAGGTGCCTGGTGACCATGCTGTTTGTCAGCAAAAAAGAGGCAGTTCAGAACAGCACCTGCTGACACCATTTCTCTCCTGGACTGTTTGTTTAGACTTGGTCATTCTCATTATTGGATAAAGCTGAAGAAGTCTCTATTTTAAGAAGCTTCCCTCTGTGAAAGCACCAAGGCAGTCTTGTGGTATCTCGTGGAAAGTTCTGTTCCTAGAAAAAAAAAAGTCTTTTGGTGCTGGTAGGCAGACAATTGAAGACAGAGCTGGAGCTGCTATCCCAAGAGCCTAGAGGAACATTATTCACTTAAAATGTTCAGACATTTCAGATTGATACTGGAAGTTCTGCTGTGGGTTTGGGTTTGTGGGTTTTTTTAAATTAAAATGGCCCATTGTCTCAGAGGGCTTCAGGGGCTTTTCATAGTCGGGTATATATGAGTGATGGATACAAGTCTGAACATTAATAAGAAGTTTCCTTTTTGTATGTGTCTTTTGAAGGTACGTGGTTATCCTACACTTCTGCTTTTCCGAGGCGGAAAGAAAGTCAGTGAACACAATGGAACGAGAGACCTTGAATCACTGCATAGCTTTGTCTTGCGTCAGGCAAGGGATGAACTGTAATAAAAGTCTAGATGCTCTGCCCCTGGCTGTCTTTGTACAGTGGCTGAGGGATTTCTATCTTTGCTAATTTTCAAATAGTGTATTTGGGGGGTGGGGGTAGGGATTGGGGCTTTTTTTGTTTCTTTGTTTCTAGGAAATTGAATGTACTAAACACTGGTATCTTCCCCTTGTGTGTGTGTTAAAGACATACTACCCTGTGTGTGAAGGAAAACTAACAAGTAGCTACTGTGCAAATTGGGAATATTTTCAGCATTGGTAGTATTACTGCATTTCTGCATTCCTGCAATGAAATGTAAATGGTTTCCTTTGAGACTAAAATACATTAAGAAAACCAACAGAAGGGCAGCAGTACAATATTTCTGTCTTCAGGTTAGATTTGGTTAAAAAGTAATCCCTACAAACTGCTCACCATTACTAGAAAGGCAAAAGCTACAGCTGCATTGACTTTTGCCTCTACAACTGCACTTAAATCCTATTTGTGTTAATATAGCTGCTGAAAGGTTGAAAACACACACACACCTTTGGAAGATACCAGGCCCCCTTGAGCTGGTTGTTTCCTGTTAATCCTCTCAGCATGGGAGGTCTAGCCATAATGAAAGTGATGGTACTGTAACATGTGCCTGAACATTACTGATGCCACAGTGTACACGTGGTCAGGTGGATTTTTATAGGCTGCTGCCATCCAGCTTCAGAGGTGCAACTATGCTCTACTTCTATAGAGCCAGAGTGAATAATAGGTGCTGTTATACCTGCTCCGTTAATAGTAAATGATCAGTTAGACTTCCAAGCTGATAATGTGTTTCCTTGCCTGAATCCAAACTTTGTGCTGACCTGCTCCTTATTCAGAGTACTTAGAGAACAACAAGTAGTACAATATTTAATATTTTTTTCCATTCAGCTGGTCTATAGTAGTGTAAAATAGTTCCCCCCTCTTCTTGAGCCTTAACCTTTTTCCAAGCAGTAAGCATTGATGAGTTTGAATGCTAGGGCCACGCACTTTGTGGTATCTTGGATTATAATATGAATCTATTCTTTGGTGCATAAGATGTTCCATGCTAGATTTAATGAAAGCCAAAGAATTTACATTGCAGAGACTGTCATGATACAAAGGCAACAGCAAACCAAGGACTGAATTCTGCTGTCTCACGGGCACAGAAACTCATGGAATGAGGATAGCTACAGGCTAATTTGACTAATCTGTCAAGATACTGGGTTTTGTCCATCATATGGAGTAGGTTGGGTTGTTTTTCTTTTTTATAAAAAAAAAGGCAAAACATCTATGAACTTTTAAACCAGTGAATTTCTCCTGGTACTTCACTTCACTGTCTGTCCAGAACTTTTGATTCTGTTCAATCTAAAAATGTGTGAGGGTGAAAAAGTCACAGTGAAAGCTAAGTGTTGTACAGGCAGATGTATTGGAACAATGTGTATACTTCTGCCTTACAGGAAGCCTTTATTACGTTTTTAACAACTTTCTAGTGAAGCACAATCTCATGAGTTTCTTGTATAAAATCAAAGTGGTACAATTGTTTACACTGAGATTTTTCTAAATAAAAACTTTTTAAAAAAGCAGTCTTTCTATAAATGATACAGAACAATGAATATACAGTGACAAGTGCAATAAATTATAGCTTGTATTTACAAGAAGCCTTTTAAATGCAAGTAGAGGTAAGTGCATTCAATACAAGTTTAATATTGATCAAAACAATTTGCTATTAGCTTCTGCTAGACAAAGCATGGCTACACTGCATATCCTTTAAACCAGTTTGTTAGTTGTGTGAGTCGAATGGAAAAGGTTGCAAATGTTGTAGACATTCTGTCTTCCTGTAAACAAACTGTCCAGCTAGAGAATGAATGGCTCCTAAACTTTTACATCTGAATTATAGCTTTAGAAGTGTCCTGACTTCCTTCCTGGGCAACTGGTAATAGATGAGGCCACCTCATGAGGGGAGGGGAAGGAAGTTGCATAAGAACAAGTGTATAAAGTTGTGCTGCTCAGTCAGAGAGTGAACTGGCAAGACCAGCCAGGGCCTGAGTTCATGGTAGTGTTTCTAACACATGGTGCAGCCAAGCCATCTTATGCTTGCAGGATCAGAGTTAAACAGTGCTTGGAGCATAAGAGAACTGAAACATTTACTTTGGCACAATTTTGGATGCTTACTGTCATGACAGCTGTCAGGAGGAGACTTACAGCCTAGGCATAGTAGCTGGTCCTTCTGGGCAAAATGATCTTGTGTGAGACGTATGCTCTACGACTGAAGTGCCAACACTTTCTTTAGCTTCTCTGCCTCTCCCCCTTGTCTTCCCTCCCAACCACCAAGAAAAAGACCTCACTTTTTTTGGGTGTTGTTAACCCATCTGGTAAAACTCAGCAGATGTCCAAGCAACTGCTAAAGGCCAAGCTGCTATGTGAGATTAAGACCATCCCAGCCAAATAAAGCATGTGTGGGCATACTGCTGCTGCTGCTGCTGAGCTGAGCAGCCACCGTGGCATAGGGTCAGTCTATAAGAAGTCCAGCAGTTTGTTCACACCCCAGGGGGTGGTCCCCACACCGTCCCCCCACAAGGCACATATGTGGTGTTCTGAAAGGTGGTTTACCACATGATTTTCTCTCCAAGCTCCTGAAAGCAGGGAAGGTTGTATCAAAGTTCATGGTAGCATCACAGAGTCCACGTGAAGACTGTTTGTCAGTGACATCCACAAGCTCTTACTACCATATTCCTGTATTTCTTCAAGATTACATTAGAATTATCATCAAAGTAAAGAACAGATATGGCATTTAGTTTGGTAGGTGCACAGCATGGTTTGGGAACGTAATCAGGATTCATAAGATGAACCTGTTGCCAAGAAAGAAAACACAACTGAGACAATGGTATCTTGTTTACAAATTCACCTGGTGCTTTGGCATCGAGCTGGTGGGAGACTTACCAGAGTTTGGACAATGGCATGATTGGTTGCATTCATATGGGCATTGAGTGGGAATGAGCACTCCCCATCACAGTAGTTGGCTGCGTAGCCCTTTGGAGCGATTATCCAGTCCTTTTTAGGGAAACAAACAGAACATGATTCAACAGACAACTGCATGCAATTAAGAGCAGCTGAAAATTTTCCATTAACTTTTTTCTTGAGGGTGAAAATGTGTTTTCACTGAAACTGTTAGGCTTTTGATTGGGGTTTTGGTTTTTGGTTTTTCTTGAGCCATCACTTTTACAAGGACACACTGATTTCAATGTCCAAAGAACAGTGCACATATATGTATTGCCATGAACTAAGAGAGTTTTATCCCTAAAACTCTTGCTGGGTTGCCTTGTGGGGATTGTGGTTTGGAAGCCTTTATGTTCCAACATTTCCTGCAGGTTAGGCCCTCTGGCTGAACTACCTTTCCTAGGTTGAGTCATAGCCACAGCTGGTGCCCCCTCATGGAAAAAATCACATCCATGCATTCACACAGGCACAATTCAAGCCTGAGGGAGCTCCACAACAGGAATATAAAAAATTGGTGTGGTGTCTCACAGACACTCTATCTTATACACCCTTATACAGGGACACTAGCCTGCTAAGGCCACTGTGGGAAGTCTTAGCTGTGTAACAGCTTCAGCACATCTGTCAGACTCCTAAAGGAGGGGCAGGGCAGCCAGCCTGAGCTGCATGTGCAAACAGGTGGCCCCAGTGGCACTCTGAGTCCCATGGTAGGGAAGAAGAAAGTGACTTTTCACCAAAGGGCTCATAAAAAAATTACAGCTTCTCTGCTGCTGACACGAAAGAGCCAAAGGAAAACTAAAAGCAGCAATAATTAACAGGAGATATTTTGCTTCCTTTGGTGTCAGGCTCTGCAGGTTATCCTGTAGAAGAAAATACTGGTATGCTTCACGTGCATGTAATTCTTAGACAATTTCCCCTTTACCTGACAACAATTACCTGTGTTTGCTTGAATTTTGCTACAGCAGGCCTGAGCAGCCAGACACTGTTGCTGTAGCTTTGCTAGCCAAGTTTGCTCACACGAGGATACCCGAGCATCGCAAAAACTCCCCTTCATTTTACTGTACTAGTTCACCCATAATTTGCTCCTGGTAAACCAACCTGCTTTTCTTAAGAAAATCACCCTTCAGCTAGAGATGCCAGTACAGACTGTGTAATTTAATTTGTGGTTTAATGGGCTGTAAGAATAAGGGAAGTGCTCTGCTAAAAAAAACTAATGGATGTTCTGAAGGAGATGGCAGTGCCAAACAACTGCAGGGGGCTGCTGCCCTGCCTTTATCATCTGCCTGCAACAAGTAGGACCTGGATTCCAACTTTTGCAATGAGCCCTGCTGGTCTGTGGCCTGCCTTTGGCAGCATTGTACCTTTCTACACCTAGAAACATGAAAGCAGTGCCTTCAAGATCAGGAACTTCACAACTGGAATCTGCCTCCTGCCTGAAAGCAGGGCAAGTAAGCTAAGGAACAGGTGGAAAAACTGTTCACAAGTGAAAAGAAATGCCACTCACAGGTAATGGAGAACGGAGTCAGCAGGCAGCCACAGTTGCAGCTAGTGGGCTGGAGATGACTTAAGTTACAAAAAGTACTGTCCCATTAGCTGAGAGAGGACTTCCATGTCCAGAGGCAGCACCAGGGGCAGCCCTGGCATTCTGAATTATAACCTGGTAAAAACATTAGCTGACAAATATGGGATCTCCCTTCACAAAAGTGCTGAATGAAAGAATGAAAGAAAAATTTAAAAATTTTAAAAAAGAGAAGGTGAGGGCATTCTTTGAAATGTGATGTTTGATTACACAGTGGCCTGGTCCTAAATAACTTCTCTAAACAACTTTCTGGCCTCATGGTGTTGCAACTAAACCCAGTCTTCAGTCTACCTACCATAGGCAGTGCTAATGGTGGGGCAGGGATGGAGGATTTCAAACAATGGCCAATTTCAAACAGTGGCTGAACACTACATACAAAAAAATTTAATTAAAATCACTGCTTAACATCAGATTTTTTTTCTTATCATTAGAGGTTCACAGATATAAACCCCTGCCCGTACTGTGACTCCCGTGAGTGACAGAGAATGACTGTATACTTGAATCTCATAAAGTATCAAGCTTCCTCTGGATCTTATCAAATGTCACAACTATCAATATTTATTTGCCTTGCCCTGTCACTGGTTTTAGTGAGGAGGCACAAGGGACATTTTAAAGCATAATGGCAGACTCAAGTGGAATTACCGTGACACTGTTTAGATAACATTTCATAACAAAATGTCTAGTTTACCCAGGGAGAAACATCACACACCTGCCATCCCAAGTCTTGGAAGCTAACGTAGAGCTCATGCTTTCTGCACGCTGTTTTTAAGTCGCTGCTGTTGTAATCTGTTAAAAGAAAAAGAACAAAAACAAGAACTTAGAAACTAAAACAGGCAGAGCACTGCTGGAGGGCACAGCTGGCCAAATGTGTGCGTGCTGTGGGCTCAGCAGCAAGAAATGATGAGCTCCCTCAGCAGCCAAAAGGATAAGGGTGTTGAGGGACATCCAAAGCATGGCTGAAGCTTTTAAGATGCCTTTGGGAATGGAGGAACCCGAGTAACAGTGACTCAGTTATAATTACTTCAGCTGCCTTCAAAGTGCTTGTAAAACACCTCCAGTAAAATGACTTCTTAAAATAAATCTACTCCTTCAGCCCGGCATAGGTGACATCCCCACTGGGTGCTCAGACTCACCCCACTTCCTCAGCTGCGGTTTCCAATGTGTGCCGCCCTAGGTGGTGAGCTCAAACCGCACACACTTACTGAGAGAATTACAGCCCCGGGAAGGTTAATCATCACCTTGTTTCCCTGTAACAGTTAGCAGGAGTCCTTAAACAGCTAAAGTGTCCCATAGGCAGGGAAGTCCCCATCTCTCTCTGTGCCTTACCCCTAGCCTTCCCCAGACATCACCTCATGCACCACCTCCACCCTTGGACCTTTACAAACCATACTCTGAAAAACCCGTTTCTCCTTTCCATAAGGTGCTTATCTGCAGATGACACAGAACTTGACATGCTCTCACCATTCACTTGCTCCTTAGTGCCAATACTTCACCAAAGAGTGGGAAGGCAGGGTGCAAAGCCCTGACCAGAGACCTTCTCTCCCTTGCCATTACGCAATGTATGAGGATGTTTCAACCATGCAGGAGCTGCTCCTGATGACCCCACAAAGTGCAGCTTTTGACAGAGAGTGGAATTTCCCATTTATATTTGGAAAGAGAGGCGGCTCCACATGTGAACACCTGGAACCACAGAGGAGCTGAGCCGTGACAGAGGGGCCTTTCACCTCCATGTGGCTGCACAAATCCAGCCCTGATGGGTGGTTGCTGATTTTGTCACACCTCAGGTGGCTGCTGGACCTCAGCAGAGCAGCCACAGAAACCACCTTTGCAGCAGAGCAGCTTAGCCACCAGCTACAGCTGCTGAACCCATACTGTGCACTCGATGTGAAGCACAAGAGGAAGAGATGGCAGCAAATTCAGCCGAGCAGCGTGGGAGCCCATGTTTTCCCCGTCCATGTTTTTCTCCCATGCCTTTCCACAGGGGCCTCCTCCTCTCTCACACACCTCATTTGCAATTAAAGGCACTTCTGTCAGCAGGCAGATGCCACAGGCTGATGTGCCTGCCTCACATTGCCCTGGACCTTTTGGCTTACCAGCCCCCTGGTGCCCCTAACATGGCTTGAAAGGTCACCTTCCAGTGCAGCTTCCCCCAGATGCAGCAGCTGGGATAGAAAAATATTTTTAGTGACTTTTTCCTTGGCTCTGAATAAGCCTTTCTTTTGCTTCCCTCCAGCACCCCCCCTAAGTTTGGGAACTACAAATGCAAATATTTATTCAAAAGAAAAACTATAATACTAAAAGCACATCCAACTGACATTAAGGGCAACACAGCAGTACAGCTGGGTACAGTTAACACTGAGGGCTGAAAAAAACCCTACACCTCAAACCCAGCCTCCCAACCACCAAAGATTAGAGAGTTGTTTTTAGAAGCAGCTTGGGTTTTAAACTCTAAGGATTGCATTTCAGACTTTCAATAGCTTCGCTTCAATCACGGATTTAATCAGGTGAGCAGAGCTGGTTAACAGCCTGCTGCAGTATAAACATTCACTCTTTCAGGAGTATGCAGTAGCAAGGACGGAGGAGAGTCTCTCTATTTGAGCTTTCCATTTTCAAACCAGACATACCCAGAAGAAACCAGGGTGTGGTGGGTTTTTTTCAGATGAAGCTTTTCAGTCCCTGGCTCAGCCCAGGAGCAAATTTCTAGCGTGAGATGTTTTGAAATTATCTGGTCATAATGAGGGGAAAAAAATGAGCAGAAGATACTTTTAGTGATCAAAGGCTTTCCTTTAAGTACCTGAAAACACAACTTCATTGTTCTTCAATGGGAAATATGTAGTTTGGTTAGAGGAAAAGCATCTGTATTTGGGAGTTACAGTGGAGTTGATCTATTCACAACTGAGTGGGCAGAATGATGCTACATTCCAAATCCAGCTACAATTTACCCAAATCTGCTCCAGGAAAGGGGAGAAGGCAAGGGAGGCAGAGAAAACAGGAGTAGGAAGGAAGGCTGCAAGCAATCACAAGTTTAAGAAAACACAGGGGTGGAAAAAAAAAAGCTGCTTAACAAGCTACATGAAGCAGAACATGTTATGAACATGTCCTCTCTCACACTGCCCCCAAAAATTCGCCTCAGCTCACTGGTTGGAGTCACCTGATTCACACTCTGCATGGAGCGCTGGCTGCTCTCCATCCAAGGCAGATGCAGACAGTTCTATCTTCTCACTTGGGCAGACTGAGCCTTTGCTTTCTGAAATGCCAGCATACTAAACATCCGCTCTCCCTGCATTTGCACTCTTCTCTCACGCCCAAGATCCCCTGCCCTCTCTTCTTATTATGTGTTTGCCTACTATGTCTACTTCATGGAAGCTACTTTAGCCCAACTTCAGGGGTTTCACAAACCTTTAAGCAACCTTAACAGTGGCTTTCTGAACTGGAGAAAAAAATGCACCAAAACAGATGCACATAGTCATGACCCACTCCCTACAGTTAGGGGCTCAGCATATGCCCCAGAGCCACATACATTGAATGTGCATCCAGTTATGGGCCTGAAAAAAGAGGAATACACACAGTCAAGGGGGTTTGGCAGTGAGCTAAAGCTCACTGAGCTACTGAAGTTGGCTTCCATAACACAATTGCTCCAAAGCCTGGAAAGCAGCATTAGCTACCCCAGGCCAGCATGCTCAGCTGTTTTAGCCCAAATTGCCATTTGAGGTGGTTCAGCAGCGCAAGATCCAACTGGCAAGAGGCAACAGGGTTCATGTCTCTTCCTACCAGCCCTGCAGCAAGGAGCCAGGAGGGCCAAGAGCAGGCAGCTTGCAGCAGGGGGGATGCTGCAAACAACTTCCATGGGGCCAGCTTACACTGCCACAGCACAGTTCATGAGGATTGTTTTCCAGAAACCCTTAAAATCTCTGAGAGTTTAGAGAGCTGCTTTGGGAGTTCCTATAGGCTCATTGTGGGTTTAGCAAAATCATCTCTATTTTTTCCTCTGAACATACCAATTCAGAAATACTAGCTTGGCATTTGCAAGGCACTGCATTTAATCATACTGCAAACTATTTTGTCTAAAACAGAGATTTAAAAAAACCCAAACCCCTAGTTCTGCACTTAAAAATAACTCCCAGCACAGTTAAAACAGCACAGTTAAGATGGCTTGTCTCTGCAGCTTGTTTGCACTGAATGTTGTCTGCTTTCACCAGGACTCAAGTCTGACTTTCTACGAGCACAGATGTTTCTCTTAAGGCTGGACACTGGCATGCGTGTTGCTGAAAAGGGCAAGAGAATAGCCTGACCCTAACAGTCTTCCTCCTACAGATACTTATGCACTAACCCTAGATTTCCTATAACCTCTCCCACGTTAAGTGCTGGCAAAGAACATATAAATATTTACTGAGGTCGATCCGAATGAGAACACTTGCTGCTTCCCAGGTGCCGGTTTACCAAATTCCACACAGTAATTAATTGCTTCGTGATTCAAAATAGCTTTGACAGAGGTCTCTAAGGCCAGCCCCTTCTTCTTGGTGTTTGACTTTGGTGATTTTCCCGGATAAAGCTGGTGTAAACTGATCACACATTTAATAACAGCCCACTTCACATGAAAGTGATCTGCTTGGGTGGGAAGAAGGGGAGATGTTGGGCTGACATGAACCCCCATGTGAAGGCACAAACAGAAATGCTGGCCACACTGCTCCAGTCTGCATCCAAGCACTGTGCTGAAGGGAAGATTGGCTGCCAGATAATGAAGTTTGTTAACAAGATCCTTGCCATCACAAAAGCATTTGGCTTTATTTGCCTACGGTGTTTGTGCATACTGCCCTTTGTGATATTTGGTTCTCGTATACGTGGGGAAATCTGTCTGGTGCTATGCACCTTTCCTTCTGCTGGAAGGAAAGGCCATTTGGAGGGCCTCTTCATTTTTCATGGAGCACCTCACACCAGTCCCAAGGGCCCTAGGATGGCTAAAGAGAAGGACCTGAAAAAGAGTTTTGCTTGAGTTTCACTCAGAGCAGCAAGCACAGCCCAAAGTCAGGCGTTTCAATGTTCTCCATCAGGAAGCGCTGATGGGAAGAGATATGCCTGAAGGCTGACTTGCAGAAGAGAAGGATTATAGCCATCAGACAAAGAGATAGGCCTGTGCAGAAACTGTAAATCATGGAGGTGGCTGTATGGCAGAGGGTCACCATCTGTTATGCTGAAGACAGTCCCCATCTCTTCAGTTAACCAGAGGGTCAGTGTGGAGTCTGAGAGCACAAGCTCAATCCACTGCAAGATTCAGCTGAGTGAGGGGCTCCAGATCTTGCAGAAAACAGCAGAGAAACACCTGCATACTCCTCCCACCCACCTGGTTCCTCCACATCCTGGGCCAGAGTTGGCATGTGATCTTCTGCCTCAGCAGGTGAAAATACTTCTTTTTCTTCCTGCTCGTCCTCCTTCTACAGAACAACTGAGCTTAGCTCCAGGAACGTATTGATGCAGGACTCTATGTCAAAGCAGTTTATAACCGTGGGGGTTATTCAGTTCTGCTTTATACAAGCCAATCATAATTACGTGTTTGTAATAGAGGGAAATAATTATTCTTGGCAAAAAAATACAGACCATTGAGAATCTTATGCCACGGCCATAGCCTTAGTATCTGAGCTCTTGGTACTGACTGCAGGACAACAACTGCATGTCAAAGGGAGTATAGTGGGGTCCCTTTCCCACACACAGCAGCATGCTTTCACCTAACCCCCCAGTTCACCAGATCCAGTACCAGCCTAGCAGCACACTTCAGGCACTCCAAACTGCAGGACTTGAAATGCTTGCCATATTTAGACAGCAAATGGGGCTTTTTAAAACATACTGCCCCAAAACAACTCACAGGATCTTTAGGAAAAGGGGTTCCTTTTCGGACTGGAAAAAATAAATCCCTGTGCATTCACTAACATAGAGAAAGGAAGTTTTAATCTACCAAAAAAAACCATCAACATCAAACCACTGCCTTGCTCTCAAGGAGAGAAACTGCTCTCAAGCCCTGGTAGGCAGCAGCAATTCTAGCTTGAGGAAGAGCACAGACCAAAAATTTGACAAGACGTAAGATACAGCAAGAGAGGAAGATGCACACACGGGGAGATGCAACCCAGTTCTGCACCCACTTTGGGTCCAGATGTATCAGGGCACCCTCAGAAGAACTAGGTAGCCTTCAGGGTAATCCCAGGGCCATGGATGTAGACATCCTCACATTTAAAAAAGAATTATAAAAAAACCCTGTGATCTCTTTAATGCTAAAAACCTTTATTGGTCATTGGTGCCTCTTGGGCTGTTAAATCAACCACTTCTTAAGGAAAACAGAGTCTGAGAGTCATACACTTACAAAGGAAAACAAGCTGATGTAGTCTCTCTTTTCTAAACACAGAAACCAACCAAATATACATCTTAACTTTAAACTCCTCTCCTTTCCCCCGCCCTTAACAGTCTCAACTATACCTTATTGTCTACTGAAATGCCAAATTCCAGGTTTTAAATTAAAGCTGTCTTTGAGCTAGAAGAGCCCAAAAAAGCCCTTGAGATCAAAGAATGCCAGCTATTTTTTCCCTTTTTTGTCATTTTAGAATGTTATGACCTGATGTGTGGTGTAGTCAAGAAAGTAGCAATGTAAAAATGTCCCTTTTTGCCCAATGTATCTGCTCCCTCTGGAGCTTTGAGTCACTTTGCCTGATTTAATAATATGAAAATTTTGTTTTAGCAAACTCATCACGCAGGAAAGTAACTCAGTAAGCAGCCATGATGCCCAGCTTTAAATCTGCAGCTTGGAGACCTGAAGGAAATCAGGACCAAAGCAGGTCTCAGAAATTTGGACCCACAGAAGATGCTGGCAGAGAGCTCTCATGCCAGATTAGATGGTAACTCCTCCAGCAATGCCATGCTGCACTGGCCAGCCTCCCTTGGGGAGGCCAGGCTGCAGGACTGAGTCTTTTCTCCTGCCCTTAAAATCTGTGAAGCCTTATTTCACACTCACACTGGCCCTTGCACAGCATGGCATGGGAGCCCATAGTCCATTACCATGATGGGCTGGAGCAATTTGGCTGAGTCAACACACGGCCATGCACAGACCCTGGCTGCCAGCCCTGGAAGGGCTCCCATCCTGGCTCTGCTCCCCGCAGGCTCCCAGTACCATGGCCAACATGGAGCAACCTCAGGTGCAGCATGGCTCACCCACAACCCAAGCATTCAGGAGCAAGTGAAAGCCTACAGATTCACACCAGCTACGTGTTGGCTCATCTCCCTGTGCTGTGTCTGGATATAGACTAAAAAATACAGCCCCCTCTCTTCCTTGGGGCATAGTCATTTCTAGAGACAGGAAGGGCAGGGATCCTATTGGAAATGAAGGGGGCAGCATAAGCAAATTAATCAAGTAACTTGGAACAAGCTAAAATGTTTCAAAGGAAAGAAGGTACTAAATGAAGAAGGACTTGTAGCACTGTGATGGAAGGCAGAGTGGCTGGAAAATAGGTAAGACTTAGAAGACAGAAGACTCTCTCAATTTTCATAAAAATTTCAGAGTTATTGTATTGCCCCACCAGCCCACAACAGCACTCATAAGGCTGCTGTAAAACACCTGCAACATGCAACTTTTCCACAGCAAACACGAAAACTTCTTTGCCTGCCTGGAAATATGCTTCACCACGTATACACTGATGTTCTCACAACGTTAAAAAAAAAAAATCTCGAGCAGTTCTACCACGTTTTTTCCAAAGAAATCTGAAAGAGGACTCCGCTGGGAATGCATATGTGCAATACCATAAATCTCAGTGTACACAGAGACTGAGTCTTTCAAATATTGCACTTCACTTCTAGGGCATAATCGTAGGCAAATACTGCATAGCAAACAACCTACGAGCACAAGAGTTGTAGCTAAAATATCTCACCCCTTGAAATAAATGGATGCAACTTCACATGGGGGTCTGGACTCCACCCTGGATTCAAGAGGACTCCTGTAAGTCTATTACGTGAGATCTCTTCTTCCAACCCCTTGTAGATATAAACCTATTACCCCAGGGAAGAGCATCCCACCTTACAACCCTCTTCTTGCTTCTTTCAACTCCAAAGCAAATGAAAACATTACAAGTCATCCTAGCCTGTGCTGCATGATTACCTGTGTTACATGATTACCTGTGACACTTGACACCCTGGAAACGTCCTGAGTCTGGGTGGAGCGGTTCCGACTCTGCTGCCTGCGCCTGCTTGTCGCTGACCTAGTGGTCCGTAGGTGAACTTCGCTCACTTTGAAGAAGGCCACCATGAAAGGCTGTTTGTCATAAGGGCCATCTCGCCCTACAAGGCCTGCTTCTCTAGGATTTACACTGAAACCTTCAAACCAAACAGTAAAGTGAATGTTAGAAAAAAGAGTGCAGGTGGATTGCTCCTTTCAGCATCGCAACATCCCCATAAGCAGTGTCTCTTTTCTTCTTGCTCATACTCTTCTTTAAACACTAAACATTCCTTTCCTGCCACCATGGCCTATGGGCATTGTTACGACAGCACTCTATCCCGGACAAGAGACTTCACTGCAGCACCTGGCTCTTTGGTATCCCTTTGGCATCTCTATTCCAGTTTAGGCTTTTTTTACTCTATATAACTATAAAGTTAAAAAAATAAAGTCTCTATTTTCTCTACTCTGTTATAAAGAGTTATATACATAGATATATACAACACAAAGCCCAGATGTGTCACAAAATTAGTTCTGCTGCCTGTGAAACACAAGAAGCAGACGTGAGATTAGGAGACCTCTAGGGAAAGCAGACGGCAAAGGGATGGTGTGCTTTTGTCAGGAGCAGAGGAATGGGCTCTCAGCCCAGCTGGGGAGGTAGAGGCTGGCACTAACATTTCCTCAGGGAAAACAGGGGACAGCCCCTCTACTCTCACTTCACATCACAGGTGTACCAAACTCCACCATGAAGTGACAGAAAGAAAACAAAGTTGGAGACTACCCCAACCCACCTCCACCAGCTCATTCTGGCACTGTCTAGAGATACCTGACCTCACTTATGTGGAAAGATATGACCATCATGGGACAGCCAATAACTGACAGCCCACCACTTACGCCCTCAGACGCCCTGCTTGTGGTGTTGGCTACAGCTGCTTAGGGTGCCCACCCCCCTACATCCCAACTGGGTTCTGTTAGCACCACTTCTAGACAACATCCAAGGGACTCAAGAGGTGACTAGTGTTACCTGGCCCGTAACCTACCATCCCGGGTCACCACGCTCAGCTGCAGTCCCATGTTGTGCTGAGGGTTCATCACCCACATGTTACTGGTCGCAGTGACATCAAACTCCAGCCAGCCCTCCTCTGATGCCCACACTGCCCGCGTGTCCAGCAGAAACAGGTCAGAGGCCCTGCAGAGGAGAAGCATAATGTGAAGACTGTGGTGTCAGCGATCTTCTACCCTGGCTTTTGCTGTTACAGAAACAAAACCTGAAGTAGTTATAAGTTACGTTAATAGCTAGGAGAAAAAAAAAAAATAATGCCCCAAATCTGCTAGTGTGTATCCAGAGTTTTGCCATGAGATGTACATGCTTTCACATATGAAACTCAGGATTACATTTTCTAAGAGGAAAGCAGCCCTACTCCTCATGTCTGTCCACTTCTCCACCAGCAAGGGATTAGTAAGGCTTTCTTCTTCCTGAAGAGTGTAATGCTAACCCTGGCAAGACAGTGATCAAACTACCAGCATGTCCAGGCATTCAATGGCTTTTGTCATAGGGATTTCATAGTATCAGCCTGCCACATGCAGGCCTACCAAAACTGACAAAAAACCCCCTAAAAATCAACTAACAGCCAAGCATAAACAGTGAAAGAAAATGAACCTCTAAAGGGCTCTGAAGACACTGTTCTAAGGCTTATCAACAAGGATTAGAGTGCCTTGTTCCAAGGCTGCTGGTGCTGCACCTCCTTCATGGACTTCAGCTTCAAATGCTTTTAGGTCTATACAATTTTTGCAGCGTCAAATACTCACCCAAATTCAGTTCAGTGAAGTCAGCTGCAGAAGCACACAGAGAAATCCCATATACATTTTCTTGCTGTATTACAGGCATAAGTTTCCTGTCAAGAAAGCTGCAATTCCTATCCTTAACCTGTGGCTATCAGCACAAAACAGATACCAGGTGTCAATTCCATCTTCATCTGTCTTTCCCTCCTGCACCTTTTTTTTTTCTAACAGGAACAATGGAAATGAGAAAACAGAGTACCTGTCCCTCCTACCCATCAAAGGTTAACTACAGAAAAAAATCATTTTGATTGAGTTATATTTTATTTTTGGCCAACTGCTATGTCATGCTGCCCAGCAGCTTGGCTTGCATGAGATCACACATGGAAAAATAAGCACTTAAGTATATTAGGGCTCCTAGTGCAGCTATTTTTACAGCATGGAGGCTTTCCTACACCTCACTGGTAGCTGCACACTCTGTGGTTGACTCAACAGCCTTTCCCACAGGATTCTTTGCCACCACTTCTCCAATGGAACAAGGGTTCAAGCTCAACTCTGACCTTCACCTCCAGCAGCAGCAAGCAGCTAAGGCTGGCCAGCTGCTACATGTTTTGGAAACCTTAAGGTTGAGAGATTTGGGCTTTCCCAGGCAGAGTATATAAACTGAAGTGTTGCTTAAAGACAACTGCAAGCAGCAGCTGCAACCACTCGTTCCCTCTCCAGTTTGATGAGAGGAATGAACTGCTAGATCATTCCCACCTCTGAACATGACTTACACATCAGACCTCTCCAATGGACAATATCTGAAAAGGGGTTTTCCTAGCACCTGTTCTGACCTTCCCCCTCACACCAATTGCCTTCTGATCTCTGTAACAGGGTAACTCTGTGACAGAGCTACTCTAACTCCTCTCTACAGGGAGCTCCATAAGAGTAAATGCTCCTGAATGCTCAAACACATGGGAGTAGTCAGGTCTACAAAAACATGAAGAGGAGGCTGGGAGCTTATATTCCCATTGCTTTGCCCTCTGGGAAGGCACTTGGACAGGGGGGAGCTGTAAAACCAAAATGGGCCACATGGATCATGTAGCCCATTCCCCTGAACTCCAGGCAGGGTCAACTGCATCCCTATCATTCCCGAAAGGCATTTGCCTCACCTGATCTTACAGGTCGCCAGCCTCAGGAGCTCCATCATTTTCCCAGGAAATTGAATGGGTTTCACTTGAAGCATTTCATGTTATTTTTTTTCTTTTTTTTTCTTTTTTTTTTTTTGCCTTTCCCTCTATTATCTAACTTAAATGTCACAACAATATCCCCTTCTTATTAAAACAATATCTTCAGTCTCTCCTTACAAGCCATGTTTTACAGACTTTGACTATTCTCATTGCTCTTTATCGACCCAGCTCAGATCAAGATGCTGAGTACAGTGAAAGGATAATCTTTATGTGTCTCACAGACTGTGCCTCTACTCATACATCTCAGGATATGATTTTGGCTTCTTCACAAAACTCACACTGTTAACTCACGTTCACCTTGTGATCTACTATAATCCTTAGATTCATGCTGCTGAACCGCAAAGGACCCAGCCACTTCCTAGGGTGTATTTACATTACTGATTTTTCATGTCCCAATGAAATTGTCCTCTCTCCCAAATCACATTCCCTTCCCACCCACCCCTCCCCTGCCCCAGACTGAACCTCCACCATTATTAGATCACTTAAAACACACACTTGCCTTTCTATTGGTGTCCCCCATTTTAGTGTCCTCCACAAATATAATGAGCAAACTGCCCAACCAAAGTACAATCGTACCAAACAAGAATGATCCACTTTATCCCAGTCTGTCACATTCACTTTGGAGAGATTTCAGTTCCTTTGTAGCATGAAGAAAAATGGACATCTGGGCTTTCCAGTCCAGTTAACTCTTTGCAAAAAGTCTCATACAGGACTGATTTTCAATCAGCTCTGCTATTCATAGAATCATAGAATCAACTGAGTTGGAAAAGACCTCCAAGATCATCAAGTTCAGTCCTTGATCCACTACCACCATGGTTACTAGACCATGGCACTAAGTGCCACATCCAGTCTCGTCTTATAAACCTCCACAGACGGTGAATCCATCACCTCCCTGGGCAGCCCATTCCAATGTCTGATTAATCCCTCTGTAAAAAATTTCAACTGAATTTTGCATTGTTCGACTGGATGAAGCCAATGCTGAAGGTTCACCCCACAAGTACTTTAGATCATAGTAGATATGTAGGTAACACATTTAAATACTTTCTGTTTAAGCCTTTTTTTTAATTAATATTTGTCACCCAAACCTCACCACGCTGCACAGAATTGCATAAAGTTTCTTACGAGTTTTCATTTTGGCATGAAAGTTTTAAAAGAATAGTCAGTCATCTATTTCCAAAGACAAAATTAGGGAGGAAAGAAAGAATTTACTCACATAAGAAAGAATTCCAACTATTTAACTGAGAGTTTCTAAGTACTTCCTTTATTTTTCCAGAACAGAAATCTTGTACGTCCCTCCCCCTTTAAGAAAGTCACCTCAAATTTGGCCAAGCAGTAAGTACTTGAAAATTCCTGCCCAAAAAGGTTTAATAGAGATTCAGAGCTTAGCAACAAAGTTCTCTGGACTTCTTGTATTCAAGGAACATACTTTCCCCTTCTTTCCCCCTTGGTAAACCAAATACCATGCATGACCTGAGGGGAATCTCCTCTTTCCTACAAACCATGTGTCTCAGAAGAGATATCTCTGCTACTTCTGCAAAAAAAGCTGTATGGAGTCTGATCTTGGAACAGAGACTGGGAGATCTCCCTAGCTAGCCTTTGGTCAAAGGGAAAAGAGAAAGGATGTCAAAAGGAAAGAATATCTCATCTCTCTCTCTCTCTAGTCAAAGGGAAAGAATATTTCACTAGATGGGGAAAGGTGGAGGATTTTTTGTAGTCATCATTGCATCATGTGCAAGGAATAGATGGAGAGACCCTGAATAAAAGGAAACATTCTGCAGAGAAAAGGGAGTAGAAAGATGGCCACCACACCTCTGTGAATTAGGCCCATTATTCCCAACTCAGCATCTCTCTGCTTCTAGAAGTAGTCGGGAAACTACTGGCATCTTCCTGCACTGATGGCTCCCAGAGGGCTACTGCTGCCATTTGTGGCAACACAGCTGCCAACGACCATGCTGACAGATGTCAGTGATGAGAATCTACCACTTCCACTCTTGCCCCAGTGTTCAGAGGGAAACACACATACACAACTGCACTTTTTTTCTCGCCCCAGTTCTGCTTTCTGAAGACTATAGAAAACCCATTTATTCCATTCCTCTCCTAATAGGACTGCAAAAGAAAGACAGGAAACATGAAAGCTAAAGCTGCTGCACAGCCTTATTACCAGTCCTGATGCTGGATTATTGGCTGATTTTGGCAGGGACCATTTTTGCCAACAGTGTTTGCTTAGCAGGTCCGCACCCTATGGCCCAACCTATTATAAAAGTTGAACTGCATACAGCAGACGAGCAGGGGTTTCCTGCAAGCCAAAGGGCAGTGCTGGAGAAAGGAAAAAATAAACATCTGAAAGTGGCAACTAACCTACTAGAGGAAGTTGATCCTCACCAGTATATGCATGACAAGAATGAGGCCTTATAGCCATGTCCAAAAAAGAAATAGTTTAGGAAGCAGTCAGACATCGTGCTGAAGAGCGCTAAACACAAGTAGATGCAAGCCCACAGTGAAAGAAAAATCTAAGAGTGGACAAGAAGGTGAGAAACAGATCATATACTGAACATAAAATAAAGTATTGAATTTCTAGTCATTAAGTGATGACACTGATCCCGTGCAGTGAGGCAGGCAGTGACCTTCCAAGAGGAAGCATGCAACTGAGGACATGGTCATCTTAATGGAAGGATATTTGAAAACTTCAGCATTTGAGAAGAAGACAGGCAAGATGGAACCCGAGGGAAACAGGAAGGGAACATGAGGAATGGGAAAAACTAGAAAAAGAAAGGCTGGAAGAAATGTTTGAGCCAGCATCACTGAGGAGACAGGAAGGAGCATAAGCTGAACAAAGCAGAGTCAGTCCAAAGGTTGCATGCCCAAGCAACCTCAGATGTCAGAGACATCACAAGACCTCTAGCACCTCCACAGGTCTTTAAAATTCAGTGTACAGAAGATAAATTTCATCACCAAAACAGGCAGTTTTTTAACACTCTCTCTGCCTAAACCTGCCTCTGGGTTCTTACACAGTTACTACCATCTCATTGTCACTAAGGTGCCCAACAGCCTCATCTTTCTTTTCAGTGTGCTTAACCATCTGCATGAATTCAGTTAATGATTTCCATAATAAGGCTGCTGCAGGCATAATATGTATTAATCTTAGATTACTAAAGGGAAACAAGTGAATGGGAGAAAC